GTGCCCACTGACTATTTACTGCGGTGAACTCTTGTGACATTCACATGGGCAGGCGGATGCTCAGCCTCTGGGCACACCGTCCACAGTGTCTGTCCACTCCCCTCCTACTCAAACCACTTCCCCAGCTCGTCTGTCACTTGCTCCTTCCAAGTCCCTCATGTCTGGCCAGATGGCCGGGCACTGCCCAGGACTCTGTATGGACCTCGGCCTTGGCTGTCCAGACTGCTGGTACTGCCCTGTGGCTCACTTGAGGCTGGGGCTGGACCTGCGAGAGCCGTCTGTGACCCCAGCTGCTGCTTCCTTAGCGAGATCACAGAGCCTCAGAGGCCGTGGGTTGTGGCAGGTGTGGGCTCCAGTGGCCTTCTGGGCCTCCTCTGGGTGCAGCCTTCCTGCCCCATGATGGACAGTTGCTGGGTGCTCCTGCTTACGGACAGGTGGGCGAGAGCACCCAGTTTACGCCGGACAGTTGGGTTTCAAGGTCAGCTCATTGTCCCATAGTAGCAAAAATGTATATGTCGGGTTAAATATAAATTTCAGAGGAGCAACAATTTTTAGTATAAGTGTACCCCTAGCAGTGCACGGGCCACACTTACACAAAAGTTATTTGCTGTTTATTTGAGAAGTCGAATTCAGCGGGGCGTCCTGTGTTTTATCTGGGTCCTCACTGAGGTCAGGGGTTGGGTCCTGCCGGAGCCCAGCACCAAGCCAGGAGAGACGGCTTCCCAGGGACACCACAGGAGGCGCCCACGGGCGTGGGGGGTGGGTCCCTGGGCACATGAGCCTCACCTGGCTACTCAGGTGGGGCTGTGGTCATCTCAGCCACCCTGGAGAACCCAGAGGTTGGCCCTGATTGGCTCAGCTTGGGTCACATGTCCACCCCGAGGCAGTCATCGTGGGGGAGAAGGCAGAGGCACCCTGATTGGCCCTGCCAGGGTCAGGTGATGGTGTGTGTGTGTGTGTGTTGGGGGTGTCAGGGTGTCTGTCTGGGTGTCTGTCTGGGTGCATAGGAGTCTCTGGGTTGCTGGAGGGGCTTCTGGGCCCCCCTGGAATTGGCCTGAGTAGCCACATGCAGTGGGCATCCCAAGAGGGGAGCCACTGCGGAACCTCGGGGAGCCCCAGGCCCAAGGTGCTGCCCAGGATCAGAGCGGGTGGCTGAAGGGCCCGGGGGTGAAAAATATAATCACCCTGTCAGTGCGGAGTCTCCTGACACTCGCCCTGCTCACCGCCTGGCCCCCGAGTCTGTTTCTTATAAGTGAAAACAGATTTCCTGACAAGGGGCAAGATCTTAAACTTGTTCAAAGGCTCCCAAACAGAAAGGATGGTTTCAACTTTCCCCTCCCCACAGACCAGACTGTGAGGAGGCCCCTAGACGTCCCACGGCTGTGGGAGGGTGTGGGTGCCCCGGCTCCGGCTGCTGGACACCTTAGGGGCAGGGGCTGTGGGAGGCCCCGGGTGTAGCCCCCACCCACGCCATCTGGAGGCTTTTCCTCAGCGGCGCCCCAGGGCGGGGGACCCAGGCCTCTGTGGTCTGTGTGTCACTGGAGTTTGGGGGGGTGGGAGATGGCTCCCACCCGCACACCCCCCCTCCTGCCTTCCTCCGAGAGCTGCCTCCTGGGATTGAGCCAGGGGACGGGAGCAGCTGCCGGCGCCCCCAGGAGTGTTTGTCCGAGGCTGAGTCTCCTGGAAGAGCAGGGCTGCTCCCCAGGCCTCAGACCTGGAGCCGGGTGGGCTGCACCCCGGGGCTTCTGTGCCGCCGTTTCCCTGCAGGGCTCTCGCCTCCCAGCGGACAGGGACTTCGTGAGACCCCCTAGGTGCCGCATGCCGGTGCCTGGCAGAGGGCCTGGCACACAGTAGGTCTTCAGCACATTGCAATGACGGACGGACGGACGGATGGATGGAAGGCTGTGCCCTTTTCTGAAGGGCAGCGTGGCTGGTTCAGGGTGTTTGCAATCGGCTGGAGGCCTCGGCGGCTCTCCCGGCTGCCCCAGGTGTCCTGCTGTCACTCTGCGTTGGGGACACAGGACTGGGGAGGGTTCTCCCCGAACCACAGGTGTTGGCTGGGCCGGCCCCTCCCCTTTTCTTCCTGTGGAGGGTCACAGTCTGCCCCGCGGGCAGGAAGCGCCCCTGCGAGCGGGCCCCGCTGACCCTGAGGCTGGGCAGCGAGAGGCCGAGCACCCGAAACTCGACCTGAGCCAAAGAAGGGGCGAAGGACGTCGTCAGGGAGACGCAGAGTCCGAGGAAACAAACCCTTTCCCAGGCTCCCTGCAAGCCGCCCCGTGTGCCCAGGGCGCTCCCGGGCTGCTCACCCGCAGGGCGGCGACAGGGAGGTTCTCTGGGTGCCCTTCGGACCGGCTGCTGCCTCCAGCTTTGGGGGGGCTTCTCCCCGCCGCCAGGAGAGCTCGGCCCGCAGACTCGAGGCCCTCGGTGTGGCAGCAGGTGGGGGGCGGCCTGGAGTCCGGCCTGTCCTTTCTGCCGAGCTGGGCCCTCCCGGGGCCCCTGAGGGCCTGGGGGCAGGGTGTCAAGAGTCAGGGGGCAATACAGCCTGAGGGTGGGATTGCAGAGCTCTGCCCCCACCCCCTGCAGCCTCACAGCCCCCCTTCTCTGCTCCTCCGACTCGGGGTGCTTGTCCCAGCAGCCCTCCGGCTCCCGGCAGAGCCCGAGGCAGGTGCCTGGGAATGGCGCAGGAGGCCTCACTTCTAGAGGAAAAGCAGCTCTGAGGGGCGCTGGCTTGTCACGGGGACCCTAGGGACTGGGGTGGGTAGCAGCCGGGGTCGGGGAGAGGGGAGTAGGGAGGTTCTGACCCCCAGGCTCCTGGCAGGAGGTTAGGGAGCTTTCCGGTGTTGCTGTCCTTGGTGTCTTCTTCCTGCCCTGCCACCCAGGGTCCCCAGAGGCAGGTCCCCCCTCTCCCAGAGTAGCCACCGGCCGCTGCTCAGACTCAGGAGGCCACCAGGGCGCGGACCGGCCATCGAGTGCCCAGATGACCCCTCCCGGCCCTAGCCTGGGTCTGAGCCTGCTCCCCACCCCGCCCAGCCACCTCCCCCAGGCCAGGGGCCTGGACAATTAAAGCCCCTTGTCCCCAGTCGGTTTGTGGTATTAAAAACGAATTGCGATCGGCCGGGTTGTCATTTCTACCTGATAAAACATCACTCGTATCGATTCGCTCGCCCCGGTGCCACAGTTTGTCTTGCTTCAGCATTTCACGTAATGGCTCGTTTGTCTTGATCAAA